AATGGAATGGTGAAATTGTTACTTGAACAAAATTAAGCCACCGAAGACAGTAATGGCATTCCATAGTGCACGGTGTACCTGTGTGCGCTGTTACGGCGATCCGATTACTTGAAGTTTTATCCTGGGAATGTTTCGTATCATATGCTGAGAATAGAATAAATAAGGTCGAACAGTAACTTCGTTGGTTACATTTTGAAAAGTTGCAAAATGCGTACTGTCCCTTGAAGTCGTCTAGTCTTTATTAATTTTGCTAAACATAAAGGTGTTGTATTTTTTCATTTTGTATCTAGAAACAAGTCCAAGTCAACTCAATTATCATAGAAACCTAAGTGCCCTCACAATTTTCTAAATAGTGCACTGTAGTTTGGTTTGATTCATGGTTTGATCAAGATCAGTTCCTGTGTAGAGAATGAAATCCAAATTTGACACTCAAAACTGAGAAGAAAGATTTTAAACAATAATTGTGCATATTAGAAATTTCAGATTTGAAGAGGACAGGATACATGTACTTTTAAACCGATCCTTGAGAACAGCTTAAATTTAATGAATGATAAGGTGCAGAACTAAACAAAAAGGAAGCGCTTCATTAAATGCAAATGGTTTGGAGTGGGAAGAAGTCTGTTTGTACGTTTTCTTCGCTGTAGCACTAAATCCCGACCGGATCTCCGCTTGCTGCCACTTCAGCCAGACCTGCGGATAATGCATCAGCCTATTAGGCCGATCGGAGCGTGCTTGCTGTCGACGTGGACCATCATTTTCATGATATTCGTTCGCAAAGCAAAGCCAAGAAACACGGTACATGCACACACATCATGTTTACCGTTCATATCGTACTACAACCGAATAAAACAATACTTAAGTATAATTATGGTGTACTATTTACGACACACGTTTCTCTCTCTCTAGCCTCCCTCCAGGCGACTCAACTACACAACGCGACGGCACGACGGCTCCCTTGCGTTGTGCCATACGGTTGCGCCGCCGCCTTCTTGCCTTACGTTTCTACACACACGATGCGTCGTGTCGTATGTCGTGTCGTGCTTCGCGTCGCGTGTTACGTCCCCTGAAGCACGACGCGACGCACGACACGACGCCCGACGCGACGTGCGTCGTGTGCTGTCGCCTTATAGAGGGTGCCTTTACTGTTTTCTTTCATTTCCGTCCCTCGTGCTTGCATAGTAGGCGATGGTGCGACCTGATAGCACGACACAAGGGAGCCGTCATGCCGTCGCGTCGTGTAGTTGCGTCGCCTGGAGGGAGGCTAGAGAGAGAGAGAAACGTGTGTCGTAAATAGGACACCATATTTAATAAAACAGGCAAATAAATGCATAACCGTATTTTCAGTATTTCATGATAGTTGACATTTTCTGACATGAATAATACTGGCTGCGAGCTGTTTGCGTTCATCAGTATTGTGCCAGCAGAAATGATGATCGGTATGACGAGATCTAGACTTGAATCAAGTCGGACTTACGTTGCTCTTCCCTAGTCAGCCACCCCTTCAGCCGGTACCACCATACGGTCGTCGCGCTCCGTCCGGCAGCTCGCATAACCCTTATTGGGCGCCCTCATTTGATAGCTTTTATTGTACAACGTGTGTCGTACCAGTCAGTGAGGTCGAGTTCTGGCGGCCTGTTCTTGACAAGGGTTTCGCGTTCTCGCGCTCGAACGGTGGGAACATGACCGAAGAACACTGTTCCCGGAACGGGTTCACACACCACCTCTTCGTCAGGGTTTTACAAGAACACACGGAAAAACTCGTGCGATTTGATTTTTGAAAAGCTGCAAAACTATCGAGATGGCTTACAAAACTGGAGACAATGGAAAGTTTTGCACAATTAACATCAACAATTTTTCATGACAGGTATGATTTTTTAAATGGAAAATAAGTTGGCTCAAACATTAACTCTCGAAGAATGTACAAGGACGCCGCCATGTTGCATGTTGCTTGCACGCTACAAGTAACGAGTAGCGATAACTTGTTGTACGTTCCCAGCGTTCAAGCGGCCGACCCACAAACAACAAATCGAGCTGTTCCTCAACATACGAGAACAAGACGCCCGAACTCAGCCTTTTGAACTGAACTTATGTAATAAGTGGACACAAGAGGGCGCGAAGCAAGTAACGGTGCGCGGTCTCTGCACGTATCCAAAGCAGAAACGAAGACGTCATAGAGATGTTGTGGCGTTCTTACGTAATCGCAGCTGCCACCTAAAATGTTTGTAATTTTCTTTATGGTTCACCGCGACGTTAAAAACGAGCTGTGGCCTTCATTCAGTGCAGTTGGCTACAGGGCGTTGGCTCCGTCACGTTGTCATGTCCAGTCCTTTCGTATTTTGTTGGAGGCCGGTGGCCTTATTAAATGTTCATGAGAGCAGACATTTTGATTTCTTTTGAGTTTTCTTCAGTCTGTTCGTTTGCCTCATCTCACCCTTTCCCCGAGCCAGTTCCTTGAGCTTCATAAGAGAGATCCCGACTTGAGTCAAGTTTAGGCGTGATCAGACCACGGTCATGGTGCACAAATGTATGCACACTGTGCACCGACGGTATACTGGGTATAATTCATGTATTTTGACTTACAGTACCCACCTACGGAAAACAATTTGCGTGTGGCGAGGCGAGGTTTGTCCTGGATCGTTATCAAACCTCAAGTGTTGGAGTTATGCTGAAAACTTTACAGTGGGAAATCCTCAAAGACCTACGCAGGATTGCCAGACTCACAATGTTCTACATGTACAAGATTCATCGGGGTTGGCTGCTGTTGACATGTCTTTCAAGTCTAAGAATCGCGATGCTCCTGCCCTAACAGAGAACTCCCAAGCTTACAAATTCCACTCTGCTCTGGGGAATACTAAAGGATGTCATTCTTCCCCGCACTTTGACTCAATGGAACGGGCTTCTCAAATTATTTGTGGAGGCTCGTAGCCCCTTAGAATTTAAGCAAAAACTAACGAATGGGTCTCCAATAATAAACCAGTAGGCTTTTCTTTCTATTGCACTCCATCTACCAACTGCCTATCCATTAATGTGCCTTAGTCTTCAAGTTTATGAAGTTGGCTCACTACCTGGAAGAAGAACTTTAAATAACGCGAAAATAGTCTCCAGTTTCTGGTCACCGTGTGCGTCGCCGTAGACCTGCGCGTCAGCAAAATAAAGATTTTTTTTTAAATTTTGCATAAAACGATTTCCAAAAGCCGCCAAACTTACGCTACTTGATCGGCAGGAATTCTGCTACAGCATAATTTGAACGTGTTTTTGATGGGTGGGGTTGAGTAATTTGTACGGTGAAGGAATCCCCCTAGGCCTCCACACGTTTCAGTCGGGCACTGTGATCAGATGGCGTCATTCGTGCATCTTTGCACGAAGGCTGTGTCCGAATCAGTTGGCTGCGGCTTGATATCATGCATGATTCTATGGGAACTAGCCGTGGATGCTGCCAAATACTCGGTGTAATTTCCGGCCGTAGCCAATTGATTCGGACCCAGGCCCACGTACCTCTGTGAACCAGACAAACGAAGTGGTCCTGCGTCCTGCGTAAGTATACAAATTTAAAACGCTTTCCAGCAACAAACCGTGAGGGGCCAGTCTATTTCAGTGTCGGTGAGGCAGTGGCGTTACATACGCATGCAGTGGCGATGGACATGCATCGCGTTATGACAACCATACATGTAACAATTCATGCATCGTTTATCGTCACTTGCCAAGAACAAAGGTAAATTAGAGTGAGAGGAGATTTTATTTTCCGAGCTGAATTTCTTCCCTATTATGTTAACTGTAGCTTGTTTCTTATAAGCTAAAACAGAAAACAATGTGCACAGTATATCATTTACCTCATGAGAATTTTATTTTCATTTTGACTCTATGAAGCTGAACTGTTTTCATATTTTGTTCATAGGCTATTTGACGTGCAACTTGTTTCCTCTAAGCTAAAGCAGAAAACAATGTGCAAAGAATGTCATATACTGCTACCTCATGAAAATTTCATTTAAACCGGAAACTGGAGCTGAACATTTATTTTTCACATATGATTTTTCCATGGTTGTGCTACTGTATTTTAACAAGCTCAATCTTGGCCAAGAATAGAAGCCTCTTTTTTGAGTGAGATGAATGAAACCATTGCCTCTCGTCATACTTTATGGTATTGTTATTAACTCAAGTTGTTAATTTGCACTTCTTGTAGTAACAAAGCAAAGCACTCTAAAGTATATGTGCATGTACATCACTTTTAAGGGAAAAAACTGCGTCTTTTTGGCCTAATCGTTTCATGCAAATTGCCAGATGATGGCCAACAGAGAGGACACTATCAAATTTCGAAAGGACGCCCCTCATGCTCACAGACAACAAAGAAAACCTTACCCCAACTCCAAAAAACTTCCTGGTTTACAGCCATTTTTATTGAATACGATAAGCATTTTATCACAGAAATTAGTAGATATGAAAGCTTCCAAGTCAAGTCTTTAAATGAACCGATTGACTGAATTTTTTCGCTTTTACGCAAACTGTAAAACAAGATTACAGCGTATACTCATTGTTTTCGGTTTGAAAAACAAGGTGGGAGATGTCGGTGATGATAGGAGCTACTGCCTAGCAATGTGGTATATAGCAGCCTCCTTTAAAGTTTGATTCAAGTTGTAAAAGAAGTTGTTCTAGAATAAATGACCACCCCGTCTGAAAATTGTGATGTGATTCACATGGTGAGCTTTGTCGTTTGGGTGCATATATACTTCAAATAAACCTGGACACACTCGATTTTTTAGATAGGCCTATATTAAATTTATGATTCTTGGTTGTCTACAATATGAATCTTAGCGATTGGGTTGTCTAGAATTACGAATTAAACGGTTCTGAAAACAGGACAGTGTGCAGGTTAATTTGAAGTCGATGCACCAAAATGACATAGCTCACTATGTGAAAGGTTTCCACAGACCACACCACAATTATGTGTCGTCTGTCCAAGTACAGGATCCCGTGACATTCAGGATCTATACCCTTGCTCCTTCGGTTAGGGGAACACAGAACAAACCTGGCAAAGTTTTTTTTAAACCCCTTTCCAAGAAGTCTCGCTGCCTGACTGATTCCTGCGACTTAATAGCTGTAGTCGCACTTAACAGAACGTCTTGGCTTCCTTTGTCAGAATAATATAGCTTCAAAAGACAAATACTGAAAAACATATTATTTGCTTAGCGGTGTTTTTAATAATGTGAAAGCTAGAAGTACCGGTAGTAAATTAACAAACGCGAGTCAAGTGCCTACCCTGAATAAAATGTTCATGTCGCGGATTTACCTCAATTAAATTTGCAGTAGCTGTTTGAACTTGATACATTTTTGTTTTTATATGTATATAAAAAAGGATTACTTTCAAATCGTGTGGTTTGCATGTCTCAGTTAAAATAAAGTTGAGAGTTGTTGAAACAATATGGTAGATATATACAAGGGCAGAGGGGTATCCAGGGTTCAAGTCGGGGAATGCACGGTTCTTGAAAGAATTGCCGACTTTTCATCCATAACAGAATCAGTACATCCCTGAAAGGAAAGTGATAGTATCCCTTTTAAAGCCTCGGCAACTTTTCCGGGTCTTCGTCAGGAAACGCCACTGCATTTCGATCACTTCAAAAGGACTTGAAGAAAGTTAATGCTTTAAAAACCGAAACTAATATGATTGGAACAAACATAATTATACGAGGGCATGCTACCAACCACTGTGACTTGAAAAAAGGCAATTTATAAATTCAGCTCTCTGGTAAGTTTGGGAAATCTGGTTCTCCTCGACAGATGCATTCCAGTAAGCTGTGACCGTGTCAGTGAATAGCTTCAATAGATACATATACGTGTATTACAAATATCACAGCGATGTTTTAACACTACGAAAGCTTGAAGCGTTTAATCAAATGCAAATCAGGTGCCGTCTTTTACATCTCTAAAAAAACCAAAAATGTTACACCCTTTCTGAATTCTTAGTAACGTTTCCCGCCTTTCACTGGATACGCTATTAGATTCTGCTCGCTTTAAACAGACTTAAAGAATACTGTATGTGGCCGAAGTTAATGATTGGCACCAACAAAACTGTGTAAGCGCATAGTAAAAACCTTTGCGACTTTTCTTTCTTCTTTTGAAGTCTTAATACGCAATAAAAACAAAGAAAGACAATTTATAAATTCAGTTGATTGCCAAGCTGGCTATGTCTGGTTTTTCTGTGGTGGGTACTTCCTGGGAAGCCCGATTCACCTCCTGGAGCATGCGTCCCAGGACAGCAAGCTGTTCATCCGCTCCTTCGCCATCGCACACAGTGCCACATTCAACCTAATTACAATAAAATCAAAATGAATTCAGTAATGTGACAACAAAAGTTGGGTCAAATCATAGATAATAAATGGGGAAGGAAATACAGGTGTACTTTCAACAAGATTTATAACCATGTCTGAAATTTGAGTATTCTTTTTCCTTACAACAAGCTTGGGCCAATTTCATAGAGCTGCTTAACCACAAACGCAAAAACACCTTGCTTGACAAATCAGGTTAGCAGTCAAAACTCCATGTGATATATGTTGTTTTGGAATGGTATTCATCTGTCATTTGGTAAGCATGACAACCACATAGATTTTGAAGTGGTAACCTTTTTTTTAAGCAAAGTTTTTTGCGCTTAAGCAAATTTTGTGCTTAAGCAGCTCTCTCATCCTCATAAATCGATGCTGAAGTCAAGGTTTTTCTGAGTCCATGAACAAATTGAATATCAGATGAAATATAACATAAGGTGCCTGGTATAAAATCATTCCTTTCATGATCAAATGCTTATACAAGCAATCAGAATATTTATGTCCACGTTTCAAGCTTACTTCCAGCAACTTCTTGTATTCTTCCACAACATTGATTCCACCTCGGCAAATCAGTCCAGTGCTTTGTTCTCTTATCGATACAATAAGTATTTCCATCATTAGGTTTGAAACAAATGTTTGGGCATAAAATACAACCCCAATACTCCATATAAACATTTGCCAGCTAAAGTTAAAACTGACCATAAAGCCATTGATCATAGAATGAAGCAGAGATGTCTTCTGTTGGGCATAGTCTACGCAATCATTCATGGAGTCAGCAGGAGACCACAAAACACAGATCAACTCAGAGATCGCTCTCATCATTTCCTGGAAGACAATGAAATAATTTCTTCATGGAAAGGGCTTTTTTAGGAAAGCAATGTTTAATCTAATCTTATCGCCCTTTGAATACTCTTTAAAAAATTTCTCTAAAATTACGAGCACTATGTAAGATTCGGCGGTATCCAGCCTACATACAGGTGGCGCCCTAATGTGCGGGCCTAGTATACCGAGTAGACACAGTGGTTCGTTGAAGATCATGAACAATTCTAGACCACCGTCGAAATTCTCAACAATTTCTTGCCCTAAAATGTTGTCATCCACACCGATATGATGTAATTGTAACCTCAGTGGGGAAGGGGAAAAGTGGTGAGAATGTTGCTTTATATTTTGGAAAATTCAGTGGATTTTCTGTGGTAAGTTCGCACGTGTTACGCAAATGTTAGCTTGGAATGCCATGTGAATTTACATGAACATGTGCACAGGATCTCGTTATAAGCATGTGAAGAACACTGCAACATGGGATTGTCACGTGGGTGGGACTGTGGTTTTAGGGTCCTGAGTCTTTGCCATTCTTTATGTAGTATTACAGCCCATTAGGCAGACTTTGGTTATTATAGAATGAGCTGTGTTAAATAACCGTTGGTGAGAATTTGCATGTTAGTTTGCGATATACATGTAGCCGTATTGTTTTTATAAAGACCAAGAGTGACAGCCCATAGACTTGTGCGTGTCCAACCTCACCCAATTTCCTGCTTGCAAAACCCACTGGGAATTTTCAGCCGCATGGCATGTTGTGGAGTGGTGTGAAGTTGGAAAGTGCCAGATTCAAGCCTCGATCCCTCAGCAAGATGTTGGGTAAGAACGCTAGTGGATCTGCGTCAGTTTTGCCAGATCAGTGTCAGTTGTTATCCGGTAAGTCCTCTAAAGTTTCTAGTGTTATGGCTGACTCAACATAGACAAAGAGTGCTACGGATAACCGCTCAGTTAAGACGAGGTCTTCAGTCACGAAAAGCAGCTAATTTGCCAAGCCCTCACAAGCCCTCAAGCAAATCTGCAAGATCAGCTAGAAATGGAGAAAACACGACTTCTCGGATGAGGATTCGGCTTGCACTGATGACCTTGACTCAGAGTCACATGACAGGTGCAACCAGGAGCAGCTGAAGCCTTCACCAGCTATGGATGAGCCATCGCATAAGGGTGAACGAGGCCAGAAACGTGGAGAACCGAGGTCGAACGGTCAGCACCGAGAGTTGACATGCAAGCAGAAAATTACTGAAAGGCAGTCCGTTCATCAGGTCCAATTAGACAGACGGTCGGAGTCGTATCCAGATTGCTTGGTTTGCAAGCACCAGTGTTGTGAAACATTCTTCACATTTTGTTGAATACACCAGCTAGGTGTATAGAACCTCTCCTCATATACAGGCCGAAATACGAAAACAGGTAAGCAATATGCTTACAGATAATATCATCAGAGAATAAACTAACTGTTGGAGCTTCCCTGTATGCATTGTACCCAAGGCTGGTAAAAACGAGTTAATGACATTACAGCCAGGGACGATTTTCCTTTGCCTAATATCAATGACACTCTTGACAATTTAGGTGCGACCAATCCCAAGTATTTTACCACACTTGATTTAGCTTCTGGCTATTGGCTGATCGGCCTTTCAGAGGATTCTAAACCTCCACAATGTTCCTTCAACATTTCAGAGAGCAAGGCAAGAAATCTTCAGAGAATTAAACTGGAAATTTGTTCTTGTGTATTTGGATGATTTGATTATTTTTAGTCCAACGTTTCAGGAACACATATCCCACTTGAAACAAGTTTTTGATTGTATAAGACGAGCAGGATTAAAGCTCAAGCCCAAGAAATGTACCTTTGGACAAGAACAAGTAAAATACTTGGGGTACATTGTAAATAAACATGGTATTGCTACAGACCCAAGGAAGGTCAAGATAATTGAGGACTATCCAGAACCTACTAAAGTTTCGCAAGTACGTTCCTTTCTTGGACTAGTGCGTTATTATCGCATAGTACATTAAGAACTATTGCAAGATTGCACATCCTCTTGTTACTTTAGTGACACTCAAGAACACACCATTTGTATGGATTAAAGCTTGCCGAAATGCCTTTCGCGAGCTCAAAAAGAAACTACAAGAGCTTCCGGTTCTCGCCTATCCTAAGTTTGATGGAAGAGAAAAACATGAAAGAGAAACAATGCATTGAGTGTCAAAGAGTGGTCCCGATTCCAACCTACCGAGATGGTCACAGACAATACTGGCAATTTCGCTGCATGCATTATGGAGATGAATGCCTTGGTGAAGGTGTGGAACAGCAGCAAGGTTACAGATTTCGTGAGGCAACGAGAAATCGTGTGGCGACCGAACGTGAAGGCTTTTGCAAGAAATGGCCTTTTCGAGCTACCGTTCCGGGCACTGCGACGAGCCCTATTGACTTTATTGAAGGGGCAGACACCTGCTGAGGATCAGCAGGCTACAGTCTTCGTGGAATGTGAACTTATGTACAACAGTCGTCCATTGTGTGCCCTCAGTCAGAGTGCTGATGATCTACTTCCGTTGAGGCCAGTTGATGTTATCAACCCTGAGCCAGCGAGTGCCCTCCAGGTCTATTTGAGAAGCGGGGTGCTCTGGTGCAGAACCGTTTGGCAGACTCAGTACATCGTACAATAGTTCTGGAGCAAATTCCTGAGAGAGTTCCTACCTACACTTCAGGAACGACAAAGGTCCATCACCAAGTCGCGGAACGGGTAGATTTGTGCCTCCATACAGACAAGCTTGGCCTTGGTCATCGTGGATATTGACCTCTTTGTCGTGCAAAAGAGGTGCATCGCAGTGAGGACGGAAACGCTGAGTGGTTCGTGTGAAGACTGCCATGCAGTCTTTGCACGTGTTACGCACATGTTACCTTGGAATGCCATGTGAATTTACATAAACATGTGCACGGGGTCTCGTTATGTATGTAAAGAACACTGTGTAATGGGATTGCCACTTGGGTGGGACTGTGGTTTAGGAGCCCGAGTCTTTGCTCTTCTTTAAATAGTATTGCAGCCTGTTAGGCAGACTTTGTTTAAGATAGAGTGAGCTGTGATAAATAACCTTTCATGAGAATTTGCCTGTTTTCTAATGGCATTACTGATATAGCTGTATTGTTTTATGTTTCGCTGTTTCTAGTTGACTGCATTCATGTTTTGGATGGATGTCACAATGAAATAAAGACCAAGAGTGACAGACCATGGGCTGGTGCGTGTCCAACCTGACCCAGTTTCCTGCCTGCGAATCCCACTGAGATTTTACACACAAAGACTTTTAAAAACGGGGAAAATAAGGGAAAACCGTCCTACACAGTTCGACAGAAGTAGTGTATAAAATAAATTAACAGTTCGCAGTCTGAACGATGGGATTCAAGCGAACTTGTGCTTCACATTCGGGATCTAGCTCAAGTAATTAATGGTTCCACATTCTGAAAATATTTACAAGCGTAAATTGATTGGTAAAATTTTTAAAAGTTATCACAGTACTATGCCGCGGTACTTTAAGATCAACCGCATTGCCGTGACGTAAAATGGTTACTTAATATGGAATAGGTCACTGTTACCCATATCATACTAACGCGGCAGCTTCTCTTTGCTATTATATAAAAAAAGACGTGACCGTGTATTAATATAGACATATGGACTGGCGATGAGATCACTAGTGGATGTCTATGTCCCAGACGGACTGTGAGTGACCATATAAGGGTCCTATAACACATCTCTTCCTGGTTCTTTATCCTGGTTGGCTGAAATACGGTCACTTGTGGTTCACAGTGTGGGCTAGTGCATGAATTTGGCGTCAGCGTACGTGTCTAGACATGGCGCGCGCATCAATTCCAGAGACTAGTGCCCGGTCAGGTACTAGTCTTGAAAATTATTGATTGGCACAATTCGCTCCGAGCGGAACAAAAAAGGGCTTGTTTTGTAAATGCCTTTTGGTACCAAACACAGACATAAATAACCCATAGACCGACAACAGCGGGTGACAGAGCGTAATTTCACGGACGACGCCATTTTCAAAAACCATGGGCAATGCTTGACTGTCACCTCAGTCACAGACGTAAACATTAGCATGGATAGTGTACTGAACGAGAAGCCTGGTCAAATTGTCAATGAAGAACCGCCACAGGTAAAGGTAATTTGCGGTATTACTTGTTTTATGTTTTTCAACAGGTACAACCAAACTGAAAATCATACGATGCACTATATATTTGTGAGCTGCCGAGTAATTTGGAATTTATGAGAATCATCTCACCATGCTCACAGCAATCAGCAAGTATGTGACATGAGTATAGGCCAACCACCATTACCGTGCCTATGTTAACTGTAATCCCTCAATTTCCGTAAGCTGAGGCCTTATTATAGCAACATTTGCCCTCTATGCCAACCACATAGCTATAAACAACTTTAATAGCTCCTTGTTTCAACTTAAAGCAATGTAAGCATCGGTTCAGTACGACATCTTGACCCTACCAGTCTACACACTATGACTGTGTACATGTACATGTATGTCTCACCATGCTTACGGTCTATGTAGTTTTAGTCACACATGTCTGCATGTGTAATTTATAAGATGGTCTGAAACGAACAAAACTACCTCAGTTTACAGTGATTTTTCACCACTTCCTGAAACGCCAGAAAATGGTTATACTTAAGTGTTGTAATGAGTAGGGCGCTGTAGAATATTAGGTTTCACTTCACTTGTAGCGTTTTATATTTGCACGCATGTAAAGACTAGTATTCCAGTCATTTTGCTTGAGCAGAGATGTAGTACATGTACATGCAACTTAATGCCAATTTTTGTTTGAAAATTGATGTTGACAGGCAATGTTTCCCATTTCTCTGATTCATAATTTGCAGAATTTCAAGAGATTTACCATAGTTCCAACACCTGGCACGGGGATGCTCTTTTGATAAAGGGAGAGAGACATTTCATTCCACTCAATTAATTCCAAAAGACCTTACCAGCATGAGAATAGTGGTGTATTTGTAACA